GGGTGGCAGGGCTGTGATCCCAGCAGGAGCTGAGAGCTGCTGCTCCCAATTTTTTGGGATAGGTGCCCTCCTATGATGCACTTGTCACTTGTGGGCACTGGCACCACAAGGATGTGCACACCTGCTTTTAATTCAGAGGCCAAAAGCCAGATAAATTCAAGTTCTATATGAGAAAGCATTGACAGAATTTATCCAAAGCTGATTTTCCCACTGACTGGAGTTTTAATTGAAATATTGCAGCGAGGAGGGGAAAACTGAGGCAAGCATGAGCCTCAGTTGGAACTGAGGAATGGGGAAGACGAATGTGCGAACCTCTCTTGTTGTTGGTATTTCCTGCCTGGGAATTTTGTGCCATCTGCCTGGGAACAGAGCAGGGCTCAGGTGTCACCAGCCCAAAACAAAGGGCTGTGCCTGCTCAGGGGGCAGTGTGACAGTGCTCATCACAGGGGTGTCACATTGAGGGAAGAGACGAGGATCTGACTCCATGTTTCAGAAGGCTTGATTTATTATTTTATGATATATATTACATTAAAAGTATACTAAAAGAATAGAAGAAAGGATTTCATCAGAAGGCTGGCTAAGAATAGAAAAAGAAAGAATGATAACAAAGGCTTGTGGCTGACTGAGGCAGTCTGAGCCAGCTGACTGTGATTGGCCATTAATTAGAAACAACCACATGAGACCAATCCCAGATGCACCTGTTGCATTCCACAGCAGCAGATAACCATTGTTTACATTTTGTTCCTGAGGCCTCCCAGCTTCTCAGGAGGAAAAATCCCAAGGAAAGGATTTTCCATAAAAGATGTCTGGGACAGGACAGCAACTGTGGCGGGGGGGGCACCCTCTGAGGGGCAGAGATGGAGGGAACTGAAATCAGAATTTACTCAACACAAGTCGCTTGCAGCAGGCTCTCAAATTGTAACAGAACTCATCTAATTTAATGTGCAAAGAGCAAAATGGGGCTGAAGTCTCTGTCTGAGTTCCAGCTCCAAATATAGCACATGTTCTTGCAGAAGGAGGTTAGAATGTGAAAGTAAATGTGGGTAAATGTCTCAGGTTTTCATTCAAAAATCACAAAATTACTCCAGAATTTTCACAAAAACATCCCCCAACCACCACCACCAAAAAACCCAAACAAACAAAAACCGGAAAAACCCCACAAAACCCCAAACAAACAAACAAATAAACAAAACCAGAAAGGTCCACAAAAACCCAAACAAACAAACAAACAAACACAGAAAAAACTCCACAAAAAACCAAACCAACAAACCCCAAACAAATACCCAAACCCAACAAAATAACAAACAAAAAAACTTTTCTGTATGTTTTTGAACTTTGGAAAATCAGAATTTTGACTGAGCAGGGTCATGTCTGAGCTGCAGGTCCCTCATGCAGAACCTGCCACTCTCAGCTGTGTGACAGGGAGGGAAATAATTTAAAAATGATGTTAAACTATGGGAAAAAGGGGAATTCTGCTTGAGTTCTTCCCAGGCTGGGAGTGCTCCACTGTCCCTGCCTGGCCTGGCAGAGCCTCTGCAGCCAGATGTGGTCTGAGTGACTCAGTTCAACTTCTGAAGAAGCTGTAAGATATTTCCTGTGCTTGAAAATATCTGTTTTTAATTAATAAAATTGGTTTATCACTGTGTACTCTCAGTGCCAGCTGCTCCTCTGTATTCATCTCCCATTCTGCCATCCCTTAAACCCAAGGGAAATCCCTCATGGAAAGGCCTGCAAAGAACCTGGGCTCGTGTTCCTCCTTCAGGGAAGGGATTTTAATATTTTTACAGCATCTTTCTTTCCTAATTGCTTCATTTTCAAGCCCTTTTCTGAGGGCCCTGCAGCAGCCAGAATATCTGAGGAGGAGAAATATCTGTTGATCCACCTGGAGCATCGACAAGCATTTATTCCAAACGCTCCATTATTTCTGGAATAAACCCAACATTAAACTGCAGGAATAGCCACGAAGCGAGGCCTGGGAGAGGGTGCTGGGACAGAAATAGGCTGGAATCTCTCACTCTGGGTCAGGTGTTGGAGCTGGCTCCGTGGCAAAGCTTCTCCCTTTTCCCATGGCATCAGGCAGGTGCCCGGCATCTCCTCTGGGATAAAAATGTGCTGGGAATGCAAAGGAGGGCTGGGCATTAATCCCTGCAGGGCTCGGAGTTAAAGGGGCAGCGCCGGTGAGAAGAACTCCCTGGGGACAGAATTATTTCATGTGCAAAGATGATGAGAAAAGGAATCTAATCAGAGTGAGCTGCGCTGGAGTTCGGTGGGGATCAGGGTGAAAAATCAGCCTGGTGACAGCAGCAGCTTTTCCTCGGGTTCCCAAAGCTGCTGTGGGCCAGGATGAGTCTCCTGTGGATTAATTAGACAATTGCTGTGAGCACTCTGAGGGTTTGCAATGCCCACTGTGTGAAGGATCACTCCAGAGCTCGAGCTCTGACCCCCGTTTGTTCTTGTTGCTGCGATTAAACGAGGCTCTTGTGCAGTTGATGAGAGATTCCACGGGAGATCAGACTCATTAATGCCCGGATCAAACCCTCACGGCAACCTCCAAAGGGCTGTTCCTGCCCTCCCCTTCACCCTCTGGCAATGTTCACATTCTCCTGTTGAAACTCAGCAGGGATGCTGCGGGGGTTTGGTTGCCGGAGCCATGGGATGAAGCTGAAACGTAATTTTTGGCATTATGAGTAGCCAGGAATGCTTCAGACTCTGGTGACAAGGTAGAAATCGTGGCAAGGTGTGGGAGAAAAGGGATCAGAGAAGACGCAAAGCTGCCCATCCAGACAAAATGGCAATATTTGAAATGCTGGCATTTTGTCTGAACTTTTGATTTTTGTTTCTTGGACTTCACAAGAAAACAAGAAACCACATTGATCTGAGTTTCCCTTTTTGAGTGGGTGCTTGTGAAGGCATTCTGTTTGTGTGTGTGCACCTGGCGCATGGATACCAAGGTGACAGATTCTCCAGAAATCCATCTGAAGAGCTGTCAAGCTATTAACTTACAGAACGAGCGGAGCAAAAAGGACAGAGCAGAAATTAAATATAGCGCTTGAGCATTTAAACTGTTCTGTCATTTGATTGAAATGTTTCCTTCCCCTTGTTCCTGCTGCTCTAAATTTTCCTTTCCTGACACATTGGCTCTGTCCTAGATGGCACTTTCAGAGTTCCTGTGAAGTTTATTTTCAAACAAAACCGAGGCAAGAACAACTATTTGGATTTGGGTTGACAAATATTTTCTAACCTGAAGCTAATATTTTTAAAGGTTCAGGCTGTTGAACAATGAAAGCTGAAGCTGTGTCAGGTTGATTTAGAGATGTTTTTGTGGGGTTTTTTTTTTGAGAGAGAACACGCTCGAAATTCACGCAGCTGAGTTTTTGTCACCGCCTTAGAGGATTTTAATTTTATATTTTATATTTTTTAACATGAAAATAGGGCCTCAGACAGGGAAATTCAGAGGATACTGATGGAGAATCATGTCACAACATTTTCCCTGATTTGGTTTCGTCACCGGAATTTTGCAAGCCGTGTCCTTTGGCTGCTGCTCGGCAGTGTGTGACCTGTGTGCTGTCCTGCACCTCGCCCCTTCCATCCCCAAAGGGCATTTTGGAAGCAGCATCACCCCAAAAACTCTTTTAAATCAGTTTCCACTCGTGTGAAACTGAGCTAAAATCCTGACCAGTTTTGCTGCCACCTGCTGCTGCTGTGCTGCTGCTTTTTGGCTGTTCCTCAATCCCCCTCCTCCTCCTTCTTCAGCTTCTCTGCGAGCAGTCAATGGGGACCAAAAAAAAAAAAAAAAAAAAAAACAAACCCCCCCCCCAAAAAAAAAAAAAAACAAAGAAACAAACATAAAAATCAAAAATATCAAAACCCTCGAAAAAATGAAAAGCCCAAACAAAGAAAAAATTAAAAAAATCAAAAACCCAAACAAAGAAAAAAATCAACACAATCAAAACCCCCCCAAAAAAATCAAAAACCCAAACAAACAAAAAATATTAAAAAACCCCCAAAAACCCAAACAAAAAAAACCAAAACCCCAAACAAACAAAAGAATCAAAAAAAAATCAAAAACCCAAAGAAACGAACTCAAAAAAGAAACCAAACCAAAACCAAACCAAAAAAAACCAAAAAAAAGACCCAAAAACCCAAAAAACCCCCACCAAAAACAAAAAAAACCCCCCAAAAAACAACAAAAAACCCCAAATAAATTACCAAAAAAACCCCTAAAACAAACAAAAACAAAGAGAAAAAAATAAAAAAAAATAGAAATTATTGTGAAAGGAGGCTGAAAGTCCAAGCTCGCTCTCTGCCCCCCTCTCGGGGTGGGCTGGCTGAGCAGGAAGGTGGGACAAAAAGGGACAAAAAGGGACAAAAGGGACAAAAAGGGACAACCCAGCCCGGTTGGCTCCTCCGGGAGGCTCTTCCCTCTCCTTCCCCCTTTCCCCGCGGGTTTGCGGCCCTCGGTGACACAAACCCCGCGTGTGTGTCGGGATTCGGAGCGGGCTCCGCTGCCCGCGCTGCCTCAGCCGCTGCTCGAACAGCGCAAGCCGCTCCTGCCGCTCCTTTCGCCCGGATTTTTATCGAGCCTTGTTCCTCCCCTCCCTCTGTTTCTCTCTCTCTGCCCTCCCCACAGCTCCACGCCGCTCCTCTCCATGCTTGCCTCGTCTCTCGAGAAGAAACCGCAGCCGAGTTTTGCCCGAGATTTTTCCTCCAAGGCAGAAGGGGGCCGGGGAGGGCGCTGAAAGCCGGCCAAGCCTTGTGGCGGGGCTGGACCCGCTCGGAGAGAGAGAGAGAGCGGGCAGGGCAAGGGAGGGACTTTGTGTAGAGCGGAGAAGGAGAAAAGAAACTCGAAACTTGCGGCATGAGTGTGCCCCGGCCAGCGCGCTGGGTGCGCAGCGAGAGCACGTGAAGAACATGAGGTTTCCTGCTTGAGAGGGAGGGCAGGAGGAGGAGGAGGAGGAGGAAGGAGGAAGGCGAGTTTGTGGCTTTGCGGTGCGGATCACAGCTCCGAGCGCCTGGGGGTGGGAGCAGAAGGAGGAAAGGGCGCCCGATGCCAGCTGCCAACATGACAGAGACGCTGCAGCTCCCGGCGCTGCGGGTCCCCGAGCAGCAGCAGGTGCTGGAGGGCGGCTGCGCCTGGTCCAGCTCGTCCACCCCGACCCTGCGCAGGAGGCGCTTCAAGATGAGGAGGATGAAGAACGTGCAGGAGCAGAGCCTGGAGGCCGGCGGGTACCCGGAGTCGCCTTCCTCCAGCAAGGAATACCTGCAGCTCCCCTCCATCGAGATCACCCCGTCCAGCGACGAGGACACCCCCTGGTCCAACTGCTCCACTCCCAGCGCCTCCCCGCGCCGCAAGCGCTTCCTCCTTCGCAAGTGGCTGCGCGTCCGAGAGAGGAAGGAGTGCAGTGAGAGCAGGTAGGTCCTGTGCCCGCTCACCTCCCTCATGCCGAGGGGATGCTGCCCAAAATAGCCTGGAAGGGTCTGGTGGTGCCCTGGACGCGGCTCCGCCCGCGCTTTGTCCTCGCCTGTTGGCTGCAGTGTGGCATGGCGTTGGTTGGATGTGCTGGTGCCAGAGGAAAAGGCCTGGGAGCTGTTTGGGAATGGCAGGACAAGGCTCTGTCCTCGTTCATGGTCCTCCAGGTGACACTGAGCCAGTGGGTGAGAAGATTTAAACCCACTGAGGTGTCCTGAGGAGATCTGAGAGAGAGGAGTGACCTCTCTGCTGTAGCTTATTAATTTTTAAAGGACTTTCATCAATGAGTGCGTGCCATTGAGTATCTCAGCAAGTTAACGTTGAAAAGTATCTCTTGGTTTAGGAAATATTTCTCATTTTCACAGGTGTAGGAGGAAAAAAGGCCAGGGAGCTGTTTGGGAATGGCAGGGCAAGGCTCTCTCCTTGTCCATGGACACAGAGCCAGTGGGTGAGAAGATTTAACCCCACTGAGGTGTCCTGACCTGAGAGAGAGGAGTGACCTCTCTGCTATAGTTTATTAATTTTTAAAGGACTTTCATCAATGAGTGCGTGCCATTGAGGAGCTGATAATCCCAGTGTCCCGGTTTGAAAAGGAAGTGAGTTTTTTGGGGATTGCTTTGCTCTATTCCTGGTCACACCTCACACCAGGGAACATATATTTTCACGCCAAACTGTGACACCCTCTCAGCAAGTTGACATTGAGAACCACCTCTTGGTTTAGGAAATATTTCTGATTTTCACAGGTGTGGCAGTGATGCTGCCAAACCCTGCCAGTGTTTTTGGGGATGCTCATTCCTACCACTGAGGCTGCCCTTCCCTTGCCACTCTCAGCTCAGTACAAAGGGGGACAGGAGGGACACACCAGCAGCCCAGCGGGTCTGTGTGTCAGGGTGGCTGGGCTCAGCCCCTGGCAGCTCTCCTGACCTGAAAGTCACCCAGTCCTTGGGCTGGAAAGGACACAAGTCACTCCCAAAGGCCTCCAGGAGCCTGTCAGCACCGGGAATGAGTGCCCAGGCATTGTAATTGTGGGGAATGAGAGCCCAGGCATTGTAATTGTGTGGCCACAGGAGATAAAGCTGCGCCTCATGCAACCCTCGGCAGGGCACCCCACATGCTGGGGAATTAACTCTTCTTTAACATCTACCTGCACTGGAATTAACTCTTCTTTAACAATCTGCATGCACTGGAATTACTCTTCCTTTACAATCTACATACAGGGGAATTAACTCTTCTTTAACAATCTACCTGCACTGGAATTAACTCTTTACAATCTACATGCACTGGAATTAACTCTTGTATAACAATCTACATGCACTGGAATTAACTCTACCTTTACAATCCACATCCACTGGAATTAACTCTTTGCAATCTACATGCACTGGAATTAACTCTTCTTTAACATCTACATGCACTGGAATTAACTCTTTACAATCTATAAGCACTGGAATGAACTCTTCTATAACAATCTACATGCACTGGAATTAACTCTTCTTTAACAATCTACATGCAGGGGAATTAACTCTTCCTTTACAATCTACATGCACTGGAATTAACTCTTCTTTAACTCTACATCCACTGGAATTAATTCTTCTTTAACAATCTGCATGCACTGGAATTAACTCTTCTTTACAATCTACATCCACTGGAATTAACTCTTCCTTTATAATCTACATACAGGAGAATTAACTCTTGTTTAACATCTACGTGCAGTGGAATTAACTCCCCCTTTACAGTCCACATCCAGTGGAATTAACTATTCCTTTTACAATCTGCATGCACTGGAATTAACTCTTCTTTAACATCTACATGCACTGGAATTAACTCTTCCTCTAACTACATAACTCTTCCTTTAACAATCTGCCTTTCCTGAAGGCCCCAAACCCACAAGACACTTTAAAGATTTCTCCAATAAATGGATATAAGTTTATAAATCTGGCTTGGTGTGGGCCAAGTTTTCTCCCACTGTTTGCAGCCCCTGTGCAGCTGATCTGTGGGGTTTTTTTTAGAGGATGTGCTGCACTTCCAGAAAAAGAGAAAACTTTGACATTTCTGCACCCACCAAACCACACTGACTCACTGCCTGCTGTGGTGTTGAGTGTTCTCAGGGCAGAGCTTTGAATATCCACTCTGATTATCTGATAATTTCTTCTTTCATCAGGTCCCTTTAGCAAGGTCAGTCTGTCAGCTTATTAATTTTTAAAGAACCTTCATCAATGAATGCGTGCCATTGAGGAGCTGATAATCCCTCTCAGCAAGCTAACATTAAAAACCATCTCTTGGTTTAGGAAATATTTCTGATTTGGGAAATATTTCTGATTTGGGAAATACTTCTGATTTAGGAAATATTTCGGTGGTGCAAGCAGGGATTCAGGCACAGCACACAAAATGGGAAGGACAATGCACGAGGCACGTGCTGAAGTGTCAGAATATTGAAGTTATGGTCACAAGTTCAGAGGATGAAGGATCCAATCCTCCAACTGAAGGACTTAATTTGAATTTTTTTCATTGTGAATGAGTTTCAGGCAGGCCAAGCTGTTTATTTTGGTGTGAAGGTGGAAAAAGGAGCTAAGTTTCCTTGTACATTTCTCGTTTACAAATGTTGCCATGCTGACAATTTCCTGCTTATTCATCCCCAAGGGATTTTTGGGCGATGTTTCCCAAGCAGTGACTGGAAGGAAGGCGGAGTGGGGGATGGCTTAGGTGGCATTAGCACAACAAAACCAGCCTGGCATCTCCTTTCTTCACCTGCAGCAGGCTCCAGATCTGTCATCCTGCCATGGCAAACAGGGTGTTTGCAAATGGAATTTTCCCTCCCTGGCCCAGGTGGAAAAGCCGGGTTTGGTCACAGTGCTGAGCCTTGAGCTGGCAGAGTGCAGGGATCAGCCCTGGGCTCTCCCACCACAGCAGAGCAAACAGCAAAGGGGAGCGTGGGGAAAAGGCCAATCACTTGGTTTTGGGATTTTAAAAGTTTAACAGTAATAAAATGGTTATAAAAATAGTAATAAAAAAGTTGGGCAATTAGGATTTAGGACAATACAAGACAATAAAAACAAAGAGTTATGGACAGTCCGGGTACCTCCTTCTGGGCAAAATAAGCCCAGAAAAGGACCCACCTTAACAGAGGATTTACCCTTAAAAGCAGCAGCCTGTTGTATGTTCATACACCTCACCCATGATGCATAAATTCCATTCAAACACAGGATTCTGGCTGGGCAGTGTCAGCTTCTTCCTCTGAATCCTGACAGCGTCTTCAGGGCTGAGCAAGGCAGGAAGAAGTTCACTTCTTCTGATAATGGAGCAATAAATTCTCTTTTTCTGAAAGATTGAGGTGTCCTGTGGCTGCTATCTCACTTCAAGTACCTCATTCCTCTCTTTTAAAAAAAGGATCTTATGTAACAGTTTCTATTTTAACATTATGTTATAACCTAAAACTATACTTAACACAGTACTTAAGAAAATTAATACAGCATCACTTTCTAACATAACACATATAACATTCATTTGAATATTTGCAAAAAGCCAATCATAAAACACCCATTTTTCACAAGCAGAACCTGTGGGGAGCTGGCCATGGAAAGGGGTGATAAACCCTGAGGGGTTTGTGGCTTCATTTGACACAGACCTTGAGTAAACTTTGCTGTGCCCCAAGTGAAATGTAACTTTTGCAAGACAAGAAGCTGTTTTGCTATGAAACAGAAATTGCCTGTTTGCTGCTTTAGCGTGGTCACACAGAGCACCTGCTCTGTCCTGTTGTGCCACTGCTGCTGGTGACAGGTGCTCCCAGTGTCACCTCTGTGCTCTGGGATGTTTGAGGGCAGCAGGGACAGCTGTGCTGTGTCACCCTGTTCTTCTGAGTTCTTCCAAGCCTTCTGATATTTACAGTCTGGTAATGAAGTTTCTCACGCACTTTTATGTAAATAATCATTGTTTGACACTGTTCTGGAAGAAGAAAAAATTAATAGACTGTTAGTTTGTGCAGTGTCATTGGGGAAGTAGCATTTTCATCCTCCAATCCACTGTCACTTTTGAAAGTCCATAAATGTTAGAGTCAAGAAATAAACTGTCCCTTCTTCTTACCTTAGAGTTCCAGTGTCTGCACTGTTTTATTTCCTGTCCTATTGCACCAGCTGAGGGGTTTGTGCAGCAGATCACTCACCAAGCTTTCATTTCATCATTCACCTGCTGTTCAGTGACAGAACTTGGCCTGCCCAATGTCCCAGGTGTCCCCAGTGTGTGCTGGGAGTGCAGGCACCCCATGAGTGTGCAAATCCCCAAATCTCACCTGGTGAAGGCAGCAGCCATCAGGCTGTGCCCCCCACTGGAGAAACAAACAGAAATAAACACAGTTTGCTCCCAGTCACTCCAGTTCTCTGGCTGAGTTGCCATCAAGCTGCTGTGACACCGTCAGATTTTCTGAAAAATCCCTTTGCCAGGATTGTTCTCCTGGGAAGCTGAGAAGCCTCAGAGAAAAATGAAAACAACAATTATCTGATTGCTTCTCCTGTGTTTTGCTGCTTTGGAATGTGTTTGGACATTGTTTATCCAACAGCTGCTTGTTTGATTGGTTTCATGTGAATTGTTTTGATTTAATGACCAATCACAGCCAAGCTGTGTTGGGACTCTGGAAGCAGTCACGAGTTTTTATTATCAATCTTGTTAAACCTTCTGTCTGTATCCTTTCTCTATTCTTTAGTATAGTTTTAGTATAGCATAATACAATACAATGTAATATAATATAATACAATATAATGTAATACAATGTAATATAATATAATGTAATACAACGTAATACAACGTAATACAATATAATATAATATAATATAATATAATATAATATAATATAATATATAATGTAATATAATGTAATGTAATGTAATGTAATACAGTGTAATGTAATACAATGTAATGTAATACAATGTAATACAATACAATGTGATACGAT